TAAATCCTTCATGTGCGAGCTGTTCATAAATGAAATGGTTCGTTCTGGTTTGTTTGCTCAAGATCAGCATGTGAATTTGAATTTTTTTAAAAATATAAAAAAGTTTTGAATTCGCGGTATTACCGCATAGGACAAAGAGAAAGTCAGCAGAATGATATCCCACGCATTAGAAAGGTTAGATTATGCATTCTTTTAAATTTTAGGGTAAACTACACGAGTGACTATCAAACTATATCTCTTTTTCATTTTGACTACCGACGTTTTGATTCAATCAATCAGACCATCTAATTATTTAAATAGTTCAATCAAGCCATTGACCATTAATTTTTAACGGAAGTGATGACGTGATCATTAATAAAATTGACATAATTATATATTTAAACTTTAATATTTATATGTTCTATAAATTTAATCATTATTTTAATTCAATTAAATAAATTTAACCTTTTAATCTGGAGGTGCCATGTGTCACTATATGATTATATGATGGATTTAATTAATCTTAATATTTTTAATTAAATAAATATAATTCAATAAGGGGATTGTTTAAGAGGGGATTCAAACCAAGGACATCTTTGGTCCCTAGGCATGCCCTTATTAGGGGTGTAAACGAGTCGAGTTGAGCTCGAGTATTGCTGAGCTCGACTCGACTCGAAAACTCTGAAATGGAGCTCGACTCTACTCGAAAACTCGCGAGCTTAAAATTTTCAAGCTCAACTTGAACTCGAAATCCTGAACTGAAGCTTGTGAGCAACTCGAAAAGGCATGAAATGAAAAAAAAATCTTAAACTTAACTCGATTGAAGCCTCAAACTCGAACATGAACCTTAAATACATGAAATCTTATTGTATTTTTAAAAAAAATCAATACATAAATATTAATATTATTAAGATTTTATTTTTTAAAAAATAAAATCTTAATATATTATATTTTTGAGCTGCTCACGAGCTTTTCGAGTCGAATATCGAGTAGCTCTTTTCGGCTCATTAAGAACTTGAGTCGAGCTCGAGCTTGAGTCGAGTCCATTCGATCCGAGTATTTATTGAGCCTTGATCGAGTCGATCTCGAGTAGCTCGCGATCTGTCTCGTCTTATTTACAGCCCTAGGCCCCTTATCACTGGACCAAACCATTTATTTGGTATTAATTTATACAATCTTTTATATATTGTGTTTGAGATTATTTCACACGTACATATATATTAAATTATTAAAATAAATCTAATAAATAAATTATATTTCACATATATATTAAATTATAGTTAATGTAAGATTTAAAAATAAAAAAGATTTTAATATTTTTTTAAATTGTTTTTAAATAATAATATATAAATTATATTTTTTTAGAAAACCCAAATCAAAAAATAATTTAAGTCTTACATTAACTATATATATGTGAAATGTAATTTATTTATTCTGTTTATTTTAATAATTTAATATATACATATGTATATATATATGTATGAAATAACTTCAAACACAATATATAAAAGATTGTGCAAATTAAATTCAAATAAATGATTTGGCCCAGTGGTAGGGGCATGCCCAAGGACCAAAGATGTCCCTGATTGAAACCTCCTCCTAAATTTAATTAAAATAAGATTAATTAAATTTACTTTTTAATTATATAGTAACACGTATTACTTTCGAAATTAGAGGGCTAAAATGAAAAGAGACTATAATGTAATGATCTCTAGTTTACTCTAAATTTTAATTGATTATTTTAGAAAAATGTTAATTATATTTTCCTTTAAATATCAAGTTATTGTAGGAAAACTGGAGAAGAGAGAATCGAGGAGCCTTGTATTCACTTTGGCCTTTGCTTAGTGACTTGCTAATTAATTAGAAGGTTTTTTTTCATCAGAGTTACCACTAGCTTCTTTCTTAACGTTTTTCTATCGTCATTTTACTTCCCTGCGTCACATTTTCTCGAGATTTTTGCTTTTGCTTTCTGGGTTTTATTTGTTTTTTGAACTATGGCTTCAACGTTGTTACTAGCTCTGGTTTTTGTGATTGATCTGATTGCTTTCGCACTTGCTGTTGCTGCTGAGCAAAGGAGAAGTACTGTAAGTTTTTCTATTTCTTCCCTTCATATTCAGTAAACTGCCTTTTGTAGCAACACTTCCCTGTTTCAGTTTTGTTTCTTTTTTCCTGGTATATCCCTGTTTTAAACCCCCTGTAATTCCAAGAATTTTGGTTAGCTTAAGATTTGCGAATTTGGGATTTTTATTTGATATAGAAAAGAAAAGCTTAGGCCTTTTTTTCTTTTCTTATTGTATGAAGAAAGTTCTATCTTTTCGTTCCTTGCCTTTCCAAAGATAAATAATTGTTATAATTCTTGCGTTAGATCCGTAACCTGTTGCTCAGATGATGTGTAGGAAAAGACTAGAGGAAACAATGCTGAGAAATTTGTTTGTCTTTAATATCATTTAAGATGCTATATTACTGTACATTTTGAACCCAAATTTAGTGCTTTAGTACGGTTGTGTTCAGTTATGCTGATGGAAATAGGTGTTTGCATTGAAGAATTATAATTGTTGATTCTTTTTATGGATGAGATTTGGGCAGGGTGGCTGTTGGTTTTATGATAATAGACTATATGGTTCTTTCAAGAGCAGCTGAAATGTTTGATGAAGTGTCAAATGGTGTCACTGTGAGTTATATTACACTTCGTAAATATTAGTGTTTCATCCTATCACTAACTCTAGCAACCTATGTAGTAAATTTTATATAAGTTGGCGCATCTTACAGTTAAATTTAGTTTCACTATGCCTACCTACATGGTGTTAGGCAAAATATGAGTCTGTAGAAGGAATCAGTATTGTAAATTGGTTTGTTTCAAGGAATAGATTCTGGGATCAGTGTGATGGTTTATCTCTGTTAAGCTTGAGTGTAACGATTTCCCACTATATATCGGATGGCAAACTGGTTTATAATATAACATGGCGTTCTGAACGTCATTTGCTTCTTACAGGCGACTGTTGGTAATGATGGAAAACAAAGTTATTGTGTTTATGATGATGACATTGCAACTGGTTTGGGTGTGGGTTCATTCCTATTCCTTCTGCTTAGTCAAATGCTAATAATGGTGGCTAGCCGATGCTTATGTTGTGGGAAGGCCATGAGACCAAGTGGATCTAGGGCATGGGCAGTTGTCCTATTCATCACCTGCTGGTATGTTTTTAGTTACAATAATTTAAACAATCTCGTCTTCATGGTCAAGAAAACGGCTCAAACAACATTGTCAATGACTGCATTGTAATGCTTTCTGTTAATTTCCTATCATCTAAATGTTGTCCTTCATCGGTATTTCAGGGTGTTCTTTTTCATTGCGGAAGCTTGCTTGCTGGAAGGGTCCGTGCGGAATGCTTATCACACCAAGTACAGGAGCCTCTTAAACAATCACCCTTCATGCTCGACGCTGAGAAAGGGTGTCTTTGGCACTGGGGCTGCATTTGTTTTCCTAACAGCCATTGTCTCTGAGCTTTACTATGTGAGTTATTCAAAGGCCGATGATGCAACAATCAACTACGGCAAAGGCAAAGACACTGGAGTGAGGATGGGAAACATATAGACGGATGTGCTCGGATACCGTCGTAAGGATTCTGAATTTTGTATTCATTTTTAATTGACCTTAAGTAGACAAGTTGGGTGACAATGTGTTTTTGAGTATCCGTATATCTTAACCATGGACATGGACATGTACTTGTGTGTTTCCCTGTTGGAGCAAAGTATTCAGCAGATATATTGTTGTTCTTACAACTTCTGCCCAGAAACTCCATTTTTTCGTTCAGAAACTCCATTTTGCTGAGGTGTATAACCCACTGTAAGTTGACGCTCAATTCCTCCAGCTTCACTGAAAACATCAAATTCTGTAGAAGTATACTTTTTGCCTCGATCTAATATGAGTTTTTGCAGTTTACACCCACTTTGGGTTTTTGCGAGTGCTTTGAATTTTTGAAGATATTGAAAACTTATGACTTTTCTTTCATGAAATACACCCATGTAATACGAATGAAATCATCGATGAGGATGATGAAATACTTGTTTCTACCAAAAGACCAGTTCTGTGAGGTCCACAAACTTCTGTATGAACTAGTTGTAATTTTTCTGACGCTCTCCAGACTTTTTCTTTTGGGAAAAGTAGCATATGTTGCATGTCAAGTTTACAAGGCTCACATAGGTCATTGCTTAAGGAAATTTAAGGAAAGTCTCTCACCATATTTTTCTTGTGAAGTTCACAAAGAGCACGTATATTGAAATGTCCATACCTCCTCTGCCATAGCCATGTATTGTTCGAGTGAGTTGCATGCGCTCCTTCTGCTGCAAAATCCCATTTCAAAGCAAAGCTTTTGTTTTCCAGAGGGATATTTGCAATCTCCTTTTTCTTCGGATACATGATAGTAATGGTTATTTTCAAAGATAAGTGAATAACCATTTCTGACCATTTGAGCAACACTTAGTAAACTCTCATTCAAATCTAGAATAAGGAGAACATCGTTAATGTATTTTGTACCTTTCTTTGTTTGTACATCAATCGTGTCTTTTCCAGTGGACTTTACCATAGCTCCATTCCCTATGCAAACTGGAACTTTGATTGAAGAGTCAAGCTTGTTGATTATGCTTGGATCATTTGTCATGTGAGAAGTGCACCCATTGTCAATCAACCACTTATTTTTGCTTCCACTAGAGGTGAAAGCTTGTCGTGCATAAAACAAGGAGTCTTCTGCTTCATTGGAAATAAGAGCTTGTGATTGTTGTGCCGTTTGTTTGTGCTATCAATCTTTCTCCAAATATGGCCAAATTACTTGCAATAATTGCATTTTGACTTCCCCTTGTGATAGCAATTTTTTTAAGGTGATTCGTTATATTACATATGCCACAAGCAAGGTACTTGCCTTTTGATTGTAGCTGTATGTCCTTGTTCTTGAACCACCGTGATTATTTTGATTGTTCCCCTTATTGTTTGAGGATTTTTTTTGTTGCTTTGATGGAAAAACAATTTAAGAGGATGTATTTTCTTCATTCTTGCTGAATTTGTGCTCATGGGCAAGCAAAGAACGCTTTAACTCTATCACGCTGAGTTTTGTTACATCTTTTGATTCAACAATGATGATGGTCATCGTGTTGAACTTTCTGTCCAGAGATCCTAAGATCTTTTGCACTATTTTTGCATCAGAGATATTCTCCCCATGTATCTTCATTTGGTTTACAACTTCCATGAATTTAGAAGTGTAACCTTTGATATCCTCATTTTCCTTCATCTTCATGTTATCATATTGACTCCTCAAAGTGTTGAGTCGAATATTTCTGATTTTTTCATCACTATGGAACTCCTCCTGGAGAAGTCTCCATGCTTCTTTTGCGGATAAGGATCTCATAATTTTGGGAAAATTTGTATCTGAGACATGATTGATGATATGAGATAAGGCTCTTGCATCCTTCATCTCATCATCACTGAACTTTTTTAATTCTGCATCAGTGTACTGCACATCTTACTTTTTCTCTTCATAACTAGTCTACACGATCACTCATAATACACTTGCTTTAAGAAAAAAAAACTTCATTTTAATGCACCAATAATCATAGTTATCCCTCGTGAAGATAGGAGGTGATGGCATAGAAGTTTATATGGAAGAGGTTGACGTTGAAGCCATACTTCAACTGTTCAAATTCTTCTTTTTCCTTACTTATATTCCTTTTGAGTTTATTTGTAATTTCTAGGTCCTTAAGATCATATGGCTCTTGATACCAATTGTTGGAGCAAAATAGGGAAAATATGGAGATAAGTAAAGGAAAAGAAGTAGAAGTAGAGAGAATTTTGACTTTGATTGATGTGTTTGTATATATATTTAATGAGTACAAGAGTTCTTTATATAGGGGTGAGGGATGCCTTATAATAATTGTGATACAATGAATAGTCACAACCTTTTGGCATTTCAACTACTCCTATTAACTCTAAACACTTCATCTTCTCTTAATTAAACTTGACATATTTATGAATATAATTTATTGAGTAAGCTAAAAGTTCTCCTTAACTAACATTCCCACTTTACAGTACAGGTTTCTGTCTAATGACTAATCATTTTGATTGAGTAATTCATTAGTGGCATTTGACAGTGTATTTTTCAGTAATATATAGTTATCTCCATGGCAACTTAAGGAAAAAAAGAAGAGAGAACCAGTGGAAACCTGAGACTGTCCATAAATAATTTTGCAGGTGATGTACGAGGAAATATGAAAATGACTTGTTTTTAGAATTTAAAAGTATGACGCGAAGCCGACCATTCATGAAACCGACGTGAAACAAACTCCTTTCATTTTTTATGAAAGACACCCATGTTATCAGTAATCTTACAAGTAGAAATTTCTTGATTTAGTCATGCAAAACATATTAAAAAGCCAACCTAAAATTTAATCTAATCCACCCTTGTACATATTCAGTTCATAGTACAAAATTTCTTTTATATGGTGAAAGAATAATCGCTACTTGTGCAGCTGCACAAGCAATGAAACGTCAGATCGTATTGAAACAAAGATTTTGGAGCCTGATAAAATACTAATAAACTCCACATGCACATAGTTTTCGACTGCCTAGAAGTGAAAAAGAAACTAATGCATGAAACAGCTTTACAACTAGAACAGTGTCAGGAGAAAGAAAATAGAATGATTCAGAACAAGTGGTCATAAATTATGAAGAAACGAATCCATGTAAATATTACTTGTATTCAGATATCCAGAAATATGCATATCCAAAAGAATCTTCAATGACATCCAGTTTACTCGGCATATCTGGAAGAGACCCCATCACATCTCCCTCTTATTCCTTTCATAACTTAATCAAGAACAACCCTAACATAAAATACACATTCATATATATACATACTAACATAAAATACACATTCATATATATACATACATATATATATATATATATATATAAGAGGTAGAGTACTAAATGTACACCATCACCCTGAAGCAGAATTTGAAAAATGGCAGCTTCCTCATTGTTTATCAGTAACAAGTTGAAAGGGGAGACTATACATAATTAATGATCAATATGAAAGAAATAGACACCCAAAGAAGAGGGGGGGGGGGGAAGAACGTTCATCATCAAATAAGAAAACCCAAATCAAGAAAAAAAGCTGTAGAAAATGGATATATGGTTAAAAGACCTTGTTCATGGTTTGATCTCAGAATCATCCCATGGCATGTTGAGATCAGTAGAGACAAGTGCATCGATATCATCCAAATTCCAGTAGTTTGCTATGTCCATGTCGCTGCTTGTGATAGGTACTTCCCCTGTGCGTGAAACAGTGGCACTTGGGGTTGGCATGGTGATGCTGGTGATGGTTGGATCTTGAAATGAGGTCGATATTGAAGATGGGGTTGTCTCAAAAGAAAATGAGTTTGAACTTGAAAATGGAAACTGTAAGCCTTGAGTTTGAGGCAAAGATGGGCACGTTGAAGTTGAGCCCAGAAACACACCATTGAAACTTTTGCTGTCCAAAATGGTGCAGTTGATGGGATTCTGCAGCAACAATAAAGATGGTGGAACTGAACGACCCATCACCTGAAATTGCGTACTCGATGTGTTGTTTTGATCAGCAAGTGGAAGCTGAAGATACTTCCTTTGTTGCTGTGATCTTTGAATATCGCCTATGAAGTTATTGAGCCTATTGTTAACACCAGAAGCAGTTGAGCTTTTGATGGCAATTTTAGTTGTGCTAGTGCAAGCAGTGGCGGCAGCGGAAGCTACGTTGTTATTCGATGTCTTAAGCCGCTTGTTTTTGCGGCCACCACCGACAGGAACATTGCGGAGTGTGCCACCTTTAGTCCAGTGTCGTTTACAAGCCTTGCAGAAATGCCTAGGCTGAGACTTCTTGTAGTTGTTGTAATAACAGAAATTTGTGTTGGTAGAATCACATCTGGGGCACTTGAGTGGCTCAGATTGCTGCTGGTTCTGTGGATGTTGTCTCTTCATTGCTTTGGGCAACTCCAGAGTTTGAGCCTGCAACAATGATTGGCTCCATCCTACACCATCACTGGAAACCTCTTTTGAACTCAGCCCCATACTACAACAGAATAAAGGATTATTGATGAGGTGAAAACTGGAAAAAGTAAATGAAAATCTAGCCTTTTGATCGAAGAGGGATGAAGAGCAGGATGATGAAATTGTTCCTTATAAGCCAAACAGGGTTATGTTTTGAAGATATTGGATATGGAAGTAAATTCCCTGGAAGGTGGATAAATGAGCATGCTTTGAGTCCCTCTCTCTCTCTGTAATCCAAGCTATTGGATATGGAAGTAAATTCCCTGGAAGGTGGATAAATGAGCATGCTTTGAGTCCCTCTCTCTCTCTCTCTGTAATCCAAGCTATCTCTTCAATATATGCCACCCTATGCTAACTATTATATCTAATCTAAAGGGAAGATAATAATAAACTAAAATTGTAATAATTATAATAAGATAAAAATATAAATCTAATTTATAAATGTATAAGCATTCGTCCTCTTGGTCTCTCCAAATAATTTTTATAGTACAAAATGAGAATTCCTTGGTCCTCAAGGTGAAAGTGGGTGTCGTAACCGTCTTTCGGTTGGGCTCTGGAATTGGGCTTCGACTTGAAATAATTGGGTTGGGAGTCGCCACCGACCACTTTAAAACGAATTTAGGTGGGTCGGACACAATCTTACCTGATCTGCGTTTTTACCAGAAATGTGTCGGGTTCGGGAGTCGGTTACGGTCAAGGAAGGATTAACACTTTTGAACCGCCCTTTTGGTACCAATTAATTTGTTGGTTGTCTTAGTTGCGAAAATTCAAAATTTAAATTAAAATTTATCAGACCCGATTCAAATTACTTACAATTGATTGATTTGAAAGCGTAATCTTAGAAAAGTCAACAAACGTATTAGAAAAAAGGTAATAAAAATTAACAAAATAGAAAACTGATGAAATAGAGAAGATAAAATAAAATGAATAAAAAAATAAAGAAAAGAATAATAATAAGTTAACGATAACAAGTAAATTAAATAAAAATAAATAAATAAATTAAAATACATAAAAAAATAAAATCCATAAAAAGAAATGAAATAAATAAAATACTAGAAAATAATCGTGAAAATAATATATACATAGTAAATAAATAAATAAATGCAAGAGGGGAAAAATATAAAATAAAATAAATAAAATAGATATAAGATAAACGAAATGATAATATGTATATATATATAATAAATAAAAACATAAAAAAATAGTAAATATATATATAAATTAATAAAACAGATAATGAAAATTAACATATATATATATATATATATGTAATCTAAAATATATATATATATATATATATATTAAAGTAAAAAAGAAAATACATAAAATGTAAAAAATATTATATGAAAAAAAATAAAAAAATAATTAAATAAAATGAGTAACAAGGGAAATGTGCGTATAAATAAAGTTAAAAAATAATAATAATTAAAACGTAAATGTAAGGGACCGAATCAAAAGTAAAAAAATGCTACCTTTTATTTCCTTTTCGAATCGTTTACAATAGCTTTGCCTTTGTATTTTTCATGCTTTCCTCTGTATTTTGTATCTAAATCATGTGTTACAAATGGGGAGGATTACTTGTATTTATAGTGAAAAAAACTAATTATTTTTAGAATCCTATTAACAATAGAATTCTAATGCAACTACACTCCTTGCTCGGTTGTTGGTGTGGTTGTTGCTTTAAAAGATATGGTGGTGGAAGAGTCCTCCTAGGAGAGGAACTATTGCTAGTTCTATCTTTTAAGAAAATGAGTGTCTACAACTGCCCCTCTTTGTCCTTTTTTGTGGAACGAAAAATAGAACAAAGATAAAAAGACACAAATTTTCGTTCAGTGGAGTTGAAGAATAACTCCCTGTCGAATTGAATTGCGGATGGCTCCTCCGTCGCGAAGTCGAGTCCATCTTGAAATGATTTGAATCAGAATGTGGTTTCTGTTGTAGTCCACTTTGGTCTTCTTCTCGGTTTAAAGACCTTGGCTAAAAATTTGACTGGAAAGTAATCTCTTGACTCTATAATATGGTTGATATGCCCTCGAGCTAAATGAAACCGAACTCGAAAAGTTTTCGCTGACAGATAGCTTTTTTTCGACTTAAGCTATGCTGATGGAAAAAAGTTTCTTGCTACTAAGGCACGGCTAACCCAGACCTTCTTCTCGGCTTGAAAAACCTCGATTACAGCCGGACAATAGTGTGATTGAGGTGTCATCGAGCTGAATGGAATCGAACTCGACAATTTTATTGACAAATATCCGTTCTTGCCTTGAGTTATGCTGTAAATGATATGCCTTAGAGCTAAGAATAGTAGAACTCGAAGGTCTTTTGGTGACATATAACCCTTCTAGCCTTGAGTTATACTGTAAATGATGTGTCCTCGAAGCTGAGTGTAATCGAACT